GAACTCATGCGGAAGTGGCTTTAGCTTCTTAGTGCTGTGCTTTAACCCGCTGCGCCACCAGGGAGGGCCTACTTTGACTTTTATAGTGGAAAAGTGGGATTTTGTTTCCTTCCGTCCTTAGTCTGCCCCGTGCCCCAGGAGTGGAGCGAGTGCTGCAGGGCAACCCCCATGGGAAATGGGCCCCCATCACTGACAGCGAGCATTTGCCTTTCCCAGCTGACTGACTTCACCCCACACTTTCCTCGAGGCCAAGAGGGCCTGAGGAGAAACCTAGGATGGAGGCACCACCTGGCCAGAAACTGGAGGTGGGGCGGGGACGATGAACAGTCGAACAGTCGCCAGCAGTCGCCAGCGCAGCCACAGAAATGACAATCCTTGTGCGCAGCCGCTGCAGACATGAGGCCACAGGTGGGTGAGGGGAAGGGCACTGCGGAGAGTCACGGGTCTTCACAGGCCCCGCCCCACCAGAGGCGACTCACGACAGGTAACTCCCGCAAAGGGGTGAGCCCGTGGGAGGCCCGGTGAGGCTGCCCGGGGTGCAGCCGCCTGCGGCCTGAGACCCCCGGGGTCCCTCACAGCCAGCCTGAGCGAGCCGCAGCCTCCACCGCCGTGGCTGCGCCAGTGTGGTCGTCGTCTCCTGGGGAAACTCGCCGTGCGCCCGCTGAAAGGGGGCCCCAAGAGCCAGCTCCCTGAACCGCCCACTCTCCAGCCCACATCGTGGGCGTGTCTCCCCGGGGCGGAGCAGTCTCCATCCTCATGCGCCAAGCTCCTATTTATCCTTCGATTTCTCCCTTTTGTTCCTTGACTCGGAATTGTCCTTCCGAGCTTTCTTGCATTTTAAGTGCGGTGCTAAGTCCCACGCTGTGTCTCCACGCTTGCGAAGCCCAGACCCTTCGCGAGCTCGCGCGGCGTCTCGGGCCTCCCGGCTGCCCGGTAGGTGGCGCTGCGGCGCCTCTTGGCTTCGGGCTTCCCCCCGCGGCCACCGGCCACCGCCTCACCTGAGCCCTGGGGGCAGGTGTGGCCTTGGCAGGGGAGTCGTCAGCGCCGAGGCGGGAGGGGGTCTGGCTCACCCTTCTGCACCCCAGGCGCCTGCTCTGGCAGTGGGGCGCGGCGTGGGGGAGCTGCGGGTCTGTGTGTCGCCGTCCCTTCGCCGCTACTCTGGGGTTCCCTGGACTGGGGGCTGCGTTTCCTGGCCGTGCTCTCGCGCCCCACCCCGGGTCCGCCACACCCTCTCTCCCAGACTCAGCTGTGGGATCGGATTGTGCAGGGGGCGCTCTGCCTGCTGCTGAGGGGGCTGCGGGGAGAGATGCCCTGTCTGGGTCAGCTGCCCTGCCGCGGCCTGTCCTGGCGGGGTGCGGGCTGCGGGGTGCCCCGGATGACGCTGAGCCTGCGGGGCAGCGAGTGTCCAGTGTGCCCCCAGGGGCAGGGGTCCCCCACAGGCCGTGCACCCCCGGGACCCCGCTGCTGCCTACACCGGGTGCCTGGTCAGCCGCAGGGGGGTGTGCTCTGGCCGTGGCCTGTCAGATACTGGCCGGCAGCCCTCCCCCCGCGGGGAGTTGGCTTCCCCTCTGTTGGCAGTGACTTTTGATGTACAAAATTTAAAATTTGATGAACTTTGTACAAAAACTTTACATTTTGATGAAATTGTATTTTCTAGTTTTTCATGGTAAATCTACAAGTTTTGAAATTGTGTTGTTTTGAAAGAGTCCTTGGCTGACTTATTTATGCCTCTTTACACCAATTCACACATAATTCAAGACTTCAGAGTAGCGTGGCCTCTCCTGTTAGGTCCATCTCCAGCCAGCGCGGTTTGGCTACCTGCGCCCCACCTGGTCCCTGACTCCTGCCACCTGTCAGGGACCGCAGCTGACAGGTGACGGGAGTTAACACAGCACAAGGTGACCTGCTGAGGAGGGAGCTGCTGTTCCCGGACTCCTCAGGAGCAGCCCTGCTGGGCTGTCCACGTCTCGCAGCCCTGCGACAGCTTGAGCGAGTATCAACCGCATCTGTCCTCGCTGCGTCCTCTGACCTCACTCGCGTCCTCTGACCTCACTCGCGTCCTCTGACCTTTACATTGCTCGCTCTTTTCTATCCAGGAACAACTGCGTTCCCTTGTTCTCTCTCCCGCATTCTAGCCCCACGGGTGGGGAGTTTATGCAAATAACGTCTCCCCCCTCCTCCTCCCTTCCCGGCCCCTGGCCCTTCCCCCCCTTCGACACCCCCTTCTCTCCGTCCCACCTTCTCTCGCCCCTTCTCATCTTCGCCGCCTGTCATCCTGTTTCGGGTGGTTGTTTTAGGCTTGTAGGAAACCCACGTCCTCGGTCCCCCCATCCTGCGCACCTGTCAATGAGTAGCTGCACGTGACAGGCCCACACAGCTCGTTATTCAGTCAAGTCCTTGGATTGCACCGGCGTCGCCGCAGGGGCTCGACCATCCGGGAGACTTCAGGGCAGCCCCCGGCCAGACCCTCGGCGCCGCCTGCTCAAGCGTGGATCACCCTGCCCCTTTCGGAAAGTTCCAGAGTTGGCGTATACGGTCAGTCCGGTCTCCGGGTCGGGTCTTTCCCTTAGCCACGGACCTTTACCATTTCTCCATCTCTCCGAGGAGAGCTCGTTCCTCCCCGGGCGGCACCACCCCATCGCGGCACGCGCCACCGCTCTTATCCGCTCGCTCAGGGAGGCGACTTGCTCTCCCAGCTCGGTGACGGCTGAAGTCGCTGCGCGGGGTCGCGAGCCGGCTTCGGGCACTCCGGACGCCGCCGGGGCTGCCAGAGCGGCGCCGCGCCGCGGAGGGGCAGGTGCGGGCAGCCGGCGGCCGCAGGGGGCGCTGTCCGCCCGCCTTTGCCGCGAGCTGGCGGCGGGTGCTGCGCGCCCCGAGCTTTCGAGCTTTCGCTGGGAGGAAGCTCGAGGCTGCTTGTTCTGTTCTGCTCTACTGGCTGCACGCCCGAGACGAGAGGAGGCGGTGAGAGGAGGCTACTGACCTCCTGGGGGCCTGTCCACGCCCGCGGGCCAGGGGGTCCCCAGTCTCGGTTCCTCCCCGCCTCGGGGTGCTTGGTACATGGGTCGGCCCCGGCCTGCGGCTCCTCGGACACGAAGGTTATTTCGTGGCACCAAGCCACGAATTTTGAAGTGCGGACATCAGACGGCTTCTTTCAGGAATATTCAGGAGTATTCCTGTTCCCTCTGCAGCAGCGGGGCAGAGGACGCCCTCTTTTGTTGCTGATGCTTCTTTCACCGGCAACGAGAAGCGCCTGGGCCCGAACCCGCGGCCCGGGTCAGAGTTCAGCCGGGAGCGGAGGCCCGAGAGCCGGGGGTGGCCGGAGAGGGTCGCGCGGGAGGGGCCGCCGGAGGGTGAAGGCGCTCTTGGGCGGGAGCCAGAGGCGCGTGGGTCCTGTTCTCCACGGGGGGCCCTGGACGGGGGGACCTGCAGGACTACGCGGCCCTCACGGACCAGCAGAGCCTCAGGGCCCTGGTGGGGGGCTGAGGGGGCTGCTGTGGCCTCAACAACCCGGCAATGGAGGGGGTGAGGGGGTGGGGGGATGGGCTCTTGGAGGGGGGGCACCTGTTGCCTCAAGGGCTCTGTGGCCCCAAGTACCAGACAACTCAGAGGAAAGCGGGTGCTTTTCTTGTTTGGGAAGCTGACCGTTCCTCTTTCCCGCCTCATCTTCTTCCCTTCCTTTCCCTCTGGCGTCTGCACCCGCTGGGCTGACTGCCGAGTCTCGTCCTGAGTGGGCGTCCTGTCCAGAGCCAGCGGGCTGCTGTGCTTCCGTCCCTCTGTCACCCTCAGACCCCTGGGTCCCGGCCTCTGCCTGGCGGGCACCGCGCCCGTGCCACAGGAGAGGACCACAGCCAGCCCCGCAGCCCCGGGTCGGCACCTGCCTTATCCTCCCCCTGAGAGCTCGCGGGGGGCCTGAGGCCCCTGTCAGGACACGGGAGCTTACTGGATCTGAGCGTGATGGCTGGAGCCCGGCAGCCGCCTCACCGCTAGCCTGGGGGGAGTCAGCGCTGCAGAGTGGAACGGGGTGGAACGGGATGGAACAGCCCCGAGCCCCGGGCCCACCCTCCCTCCGCTTCAGTTATGGCAGAAACAATTCTCTCTTGTTTAAGCTACTTGAGTCTGGGGTCTTCTTACCTATATTGGAAAGCATTTCGACTCCAAATTTCTTTTTGAAAAATCCCAAGTCTCTCACGCTTCCTCTCAAGTATGAGAGCGCTCCCCAGGGCCGAGGGCGCGGCCTCTAGGACAAGTGACCAGGCCTCCCTTCCCAGATTTAGGGCTGACCAGGGGCCTGGTTTAGTAGGTGACCACCGACACTGGGAGAAGGGACAGACGCTTCGAGCAGGATTGTTAGGGAGGGAGCTGGGGGCAGGACCTGGGGGGGCCAGAGCTCCAAGACTCAGCTCAGTGGGCTCCTCCCAGGAATTTCTGTCCTGAACACCCACAGCTGAGTAAAGGGCTGGCTAAGCCCTTCTCCTCTGCAGCCCAGAGCTCCAGATCACGCTCCACTGCCACCCTCCTCGGACAGTCACGTAGGTGGGGGCCATCTGGGTCACAGGCAGCGCTGCTGTGGGAAGAGTGGGTGCTCCGTACCCCATGGGGCCGGAGAATGACTGTGGGCACCCCGGGGAGCCAACTCCTGCAGCCCGGCCCCTGACACTTCCTCAGCTGGGGTCGTACCTCAAGGCCTTCCTGGAGGGAGGGTGGGACCCCTCATGGTCTCCCCAGAAGCCCCAGATCTGAGGTCTTCACCTCTCTGCTCTTGCTCCACAGGCCCCAGGAGCAGTCGCTGGCGCCCGAGACCACCCTTGGCTGCCCCCCGCCCCCCCGGGGTGCTGTGGCTCCATCTTCTTCCCGTCTCTGACCATCCTGCCTCCCCGCCCCCTCGCCAGCCCGGCCCTGACCGCCCAGGGGGAGTGCCCTCTCCAAGGCTACCCCTGCCCAGTTTGCACTTCTATTTCGGCCACCACGGTGCCCCCCCCTTTTCCTTGTTGCCCGGGCCTTTCGTTGCCCCGTCCCTGGCCAGGGAGCACAGGCTTGCCAGGGCCACCTCGCCCTGCACCACCTCTGTGTGGACTGACCGCCTTCCCCTCCTGGACTGTGGCCTCAGCCTCAAGGGACTCCCGGAGCCCAGGGCTCTCCTCTGGGCTGACACCCACTGCCAAGCAAATTCCCCTCCACCCATTTTGACTGCCGTCACCGACCACCCAGTCCCCGCTGCCAAGCAGGAACCTTTTGCTCCTGGCAACCAGCAGGGCGCTGCCCGGATGCTCCCCGCATGTTTTAATGTCGGGGGAGGGGACCAGTCAGCCAGGAGGGCTGGACCAGACTGGTTGGTAGTCTGGGGGGCTGCACGGAGGAGGCGGTCCTTGCCCTGAGGAGCACATACCTGAGCCCTGTGGGCTGGCAGGAACCGGGTGCTCCCCGCAGCTCTGGAGAGTGACACGGCAACTTTATCACCCAGGAGTGGGGGTACATGGGCAGAGGCCACTGAACCAGCCCTGTGCCTGCCCCCCTGTGCCTGCCACAGGCTGTCTGGGGTGTCTGCAGGCCCCTCACAAAGAGCAAGGGGTAGAGAGGGTGGGGGAGGCCCCTGGGAGCCTCCTCTGATTTCCGGTCTCCCCTGGGCTCCTGGTGGAGGTCCAGATCTTGGCCAAAGTGGGGAGTCCGCCTGGCTCAGGTCCGGGAGATGACTCGCGGCTGTGCTGAGGCGGGGATGGATGGTGTCGCTCAACAAGTCAGCCGGGGCCTTCGACTCTTGCGGGTCGGAACCGCCCACAGCGGCCTGCGCGGGGCGGTTACCGGTGACGTCACCCCAGAAGGCTGCTCCCGACGTCACCCCAGAAGGCTGCTCCACGCCTGGCGGGGAGTCCCGGCTCCTGTGCCAGCACTGAGGGGCCTCAGCCCCGGCCAGCTGCTGCCGCCCCTCCCCTCCTTCCTGTCTAGTGCCCCCCCAGGCTGGGGAGTCTGCAGGGGGAGCCCCACAGCCCCTCCACCGGCCCCCCCCTCCCTCGCGCCGAGGTTCAGGCCGGGAGCCGGTTCCCTAGTGCGCAGCCTCCGGTGTTCACAAAGTGGACACAGCAGCCCCAGCTTGTCCTCCAGACTTTAGAGGCGGACGAGGAGACACCCAGAGCGCAGCGGGAGGAAACGGAGCCCGACAGGCGGGCAGACGGCTGGGGCGCTCGCAGGGACCGACCGGGCTCAGGGTGCCGTCGCAGCGAGGTCAGTTAAAAGGACACCAGTCGTGAGGACGCCACCCAGGAGGGCGGCGTGGCAGTGGTGGCCGTCGCCAGCTCCGTCGAGGGGCTCCCTGGGCACCGCGGCCGCTCACTCCCGCGCTCGCTCCGCCGCCTCTCCGTGCTC